TTGTCCTGAAATTGGTTTCAAAATTGGTGTCAGCTGCTGTCCCCTGATATTGGAAGCATCCTGTCTGTGTAATGGCTCATTGTGAAGCCAGCAGCAAGATGAGTAATGGAACATCCAGACAGCTGGAGGTGCAAACAGAAAGAGAAGAGAAAGAAGAGAAGCAGCAAAGCCCAACAATGCTGTTCCATAGTAAAATTGTGAAAACAGACTCAGAGGTTCTAAACAATAACCCTGGGATAAATAAACAGGGATAATACAATGGGAAGAATACCAAGAAGAAATTTTACATGAGAAGATGTATTATGAGGTGGCTGTTGAACAACACTGAGACTATTATCAGAACTGTAGTTTTTAAAAAATTCAGTTTTCTCTTCTTGCCCAGGGTTCTTGAGTCTGGCACATAGCCTGGCTCCTGGCTTCTAGAAACACAGCATGACTTTTCCATTTCCTGAACCTGTTCGTCATGCCTCCCAGAGACCTTCATTCTCTCAGAAGCTCTTGTACACAGTTACAAGGTCTCCCTGTGGGGTCTTTCTGATGAAGATACAGGATCCCCTTCTGGTTAAAACTGAAATGCTAATGAATTATTTGAATTGTTTTTTAATCTTCCATAGATCTCAGGAAAAATCTGAAAGATTAGACTCTCCATGGTATCATATAAAACTACAATTTCTTTTACTGGCTACTGAAGTTTATTGTCATCTTGTATTACAAAGGCTTATGCAATGGGTTTTTTTTTTTTTTTTTTTTTTTTAGTTCAATGAAAAATATTCAATGCCAGCAATACACATGACATTTACTTGTTCATTTTAAGTTGAAGAGACTTAGGACACTCCCAAAAGAAAACTTGGTGGTTATTAAGGCTAAGACAGTGACTGAAAAGAATTTAGTATAGTCTCCCTTCAAAGATGAGACAAAAACCTCAGGAAAGGTCTACAGAAAGATGGCCCCAACTTACACGTTACCTAAAATTCTTTCACTCTCATGCTTGGTTTATTTCTTAATTAGCTACTTATTATACACTTCCTTTCACAAAGGATTTTTGATGATTAAATTTCATGTAACACATAGCAATTTACCCATAACTAGATCATTTTCGTCATCATTATACCACCAGTCAAGACTCATCATAGTTATTTTGTTAACATTAAGTTAACTCTGCAGGGAGGGGAGCAAATATTGTTTAAAAATGAACAATGATGTAAAAAATAAATTAATTTTTTAGAAAGAGGATATGTACCATTTTCTTCTCAATTGCAAATAAATAAATAACTCAGATGTTGCCTGCATAGTCAACCTCCACAGTAAAAGGGGAAACAAAACAGAGTTAGTGAACAAGTTATTGTTAGGGGATCCATCCATGTGCTAGCTCCAATGTCAGCCAATTTATACCTGTATTTAACTCCAGTCCTCCTTGGATCACTAATTATGTAAGAAAAATTGGCAGACAAAAATCCCTGCAGTGACATGAGACAAGTGGAAATTTGTAGGAGGGCTTGATAGAGTGTATCTGTTTCTTTTTTTGTTTAGTTTGTGTTTTTATCTTAACATGCATAGAAAAGAGCTCTGGGTTGTACATAATGAGCTTTCTTTGATTGTGTTTTCCAGAGTGGAAATCGAATTCTGTGTTCCATCATTCTGAGCCATCACCAAGGTCCATCCATAATCAACTATGATGATGAGAGTGGAAAGACTTGCATGCATATCGCAGCAGCAGCAGGCTTCAGCGACATCATAAGCGAACTGGCAAGAGTCCCTGAGTGCAACCTGCAGGCTCTGGATGTGGATGACAGGTATCCATGGCAACTCAGAAAGTGTTGGGAACTACCAGTCATCTTCTCCAAATATTAATTTCAAAATAAAGAGCATAGTTATGGAGTTATCCTATAAGGACAATAACCTTGTTGCCAGTAATATTTACACATGCACTTGTGACAATAAAAATAACTCTATTTTAGTCAGGACAGGAAAAATCATTGTTATGGAGAAAAAAGCTGTGACTCTACAGTATTGTCAGATTTTCCAGTTTTTGCTAAACGTCCTCACTATTCTCAGAAGGCTTGCTATAGATCAGCTTCTTTTTGTTCTTAACAGTAAGTCTTTTTTTTTTTTCTTCATTCCTGGATGCCATAAAGTCAACAAGTTCTAGTTATCCATTTATCTACTTAATGGCATAGATAGAGGCTCTGTCTTTAGAACTACTTTTATATGACCTTTCTTCCTAATCAGTAAAGATGTACTGACATAAAGGTAGTTAGCAACAAAATTATCACGAGTTGTACCCTTGTCTTCCAAACTGGAGCTTTTCACTTACAATACCATTCATCCATAACCACCTATTCTTGCTTTTCAATGGCAATGCCATCTAACTTTTGATTTAGTTAAGCATTGATTCTATAATAATATAAGAACAATATTACAACAGGCAAGATTATTGAAAATAAGGATTTTTTTAACCCTCTTTTGTTGAAGTATAAAATTAGCCTCTTATTTATCATGATTTTTAGATACCCCACCTGGTACCTGATATTCTTATAACACAAGGGGAAAGAAATTCTTGGGTTTCATTTAAGTCTCAAAAGCTGGATACTGTAAAGGTAATGACTTTAATTAAAATTTTAAAAGTAGACCTTTGTCTCGAGTAGATGTTGATCCTAAGTAGACATATATTAGTTACATGAGTAAAAACGGTAAATGATCTGAGAAGAGAAGAAAAGGACAAATTTAAGAAAGAGTTTGGAGAAAAGTCTGCTACTGAAAAATACTTCTAAAACTAGCAATGAATAAATTTATTTCCCATTTTACATTATCAAACACTTAGCAAAATAAATCCACCACCCCATGCTCCCAGGCCTCAGAGAAGAAAATAAAACCAAGGAAAGAAAAAAAGTGCAATGAAGCAAAATCTCCATGGGGAGGTCTAATTCTTGTTCATGTGCTCAACCAAAGTGTCTCATGCCTATTTAAATTCTGCCCTCCATTTCATTTTACACTTTTTGCACTCCAAATACCTGTGCCTTCACATTAAAACTAAATTTTTAGGGCCTCCCCGGTGGCGCAGCGGTTGAGCGCTGGGTTGCGAAGCTGCCCGCGGCCTCTGCGGCGCCGGTTCGATCCCCGGCTGCTCCCCGGCCACCAGAGGAGGGTCCCACATGGCGTGCAGACCTCTCCTGCTGCCCGCTGCTCCCCTCAGCAGTGTACTTCGGTCCTTCTGCCTGCTCTGCTCCCCGCTCTGCCTCTGGTGAATTCTCTCACCCTCCCGCTCTTCTGACTGTACCCAGTGCATGTATAAACAAAACAAACAAACCAGCAAACAAATAAATAAAGCATGCCTCTATTAAAAAAAAAAAAAAAAAAAAAAAACTAAATTTTTACTGTCACTCAGTCTTTGGCTAAGATCAACTTTTCTTATCAGTTTAAAACTAGGTGTTTGTCTTAGTAGAAATTTTCACAATTTGGGGGGCTAAGTACTTTAGGCAATTGCAATAATGATGACTTCCCTTTCCATCTTCTTTTTCCTAGTGAAAAGAAAGTTTTCGAGGAAATGTTAGGAAAAAAGGCAATTTTTACAAAAAAAAAGGTAGAGGGGAAATATGGCACTCATTCTCCTGGAAATTAAAACACGTCATATATCTGTGACATTTATAACAGAGCACAGAATACAGAAGTAGCTTGTTTACATAAAGATCCCAAATTTTATCAGTCTATGAGGTTATACTGTAATATTTACTTATCCTCAGGAAGGACAGTATTTTATCACATTCTCCTCTCTACATATTTCTGAGAATTCTCTAGGGAAATTTATATGTTTCATAAGTCATTCCTTGGCTACTGTTCCCTCAGCCAATACTGCACATTTGTAACCATCACCTCCTGCCCTTCAGAGACCACCTCATTAGCCTTTTGCTTGTTTCTGACGCTTTTCTTCTGAATCATGAGGTCCCAACACTCCTCACTGTGATAAGTTAGACCAGTTTGTTATGTTTGCAGGACTATCCTAAAACTTAAGATGACAAAGGAACTTTGGCTTAGTTAACTTGAAATAGGATACTACAAACTACCCACAAAGGCTCTATGTGTTAATTAGTTAGAAGTTTAAGTTTCCCCCATTCTTTTTGACTTCCTCTTCCATGTCAATGGTCAGAAAATTTTAACAGTTCATCTTAGCCATTGTCACTAAGGAATATTACATAGTGCTCCAGAGTGAATTTTCACGTGTTGGTAAACCTGACTAGATTGATGTTCAACCCTCCATCTACTTAATTTATTGGCAATATATTCTCTCAACAGGAGGGCATATTCTGGCTGGGGCTTCATCTTGTTTCATAAAAAAATATTAGCTGGAGGTGTCTCTCATATAGAATGGAATAAATCATATTTGTCACATATTCAAATAAGCAGTGTGATTGATCACTATATTGAAAAAAATATATGGTCCTATTAAGTGTTATGCCCATGGCATAACAAGAAGAGAGTACAGAGAACACAATCTACACATGGGGACTCTGGCCATGTTGTGGACATGGTTACTCTCCAAATAATAAGGCCCAAGCCCCTTTCCTGATAGCCCCAAATGAGCACTTTTCTTACCAGCCCCCAGCCTTCCATGAGAGCTATCTAAAGAATGCCTTATGCCCAGGTTTCAAACCCCAGGACAAAGCCGAGATAAAGCCTTCTACTTACACCATTCCCACCCTGGAATTGTTCCTTTTCAGAGGGACAGGAAGAATAACCTTTCTCTTTATGGGAAATTCTGTTCAATAGACTGTCATCTTGTCTTGTCCTGTGTCTCTTCTTACCTCCTGTGGTCTCATTCTCTGCATACCACACAGAGACATCCTCTACCTCCCAGCAGCTACTGTCTCTACTTTCCAGCAGCTCTGCCAAGGAAGCCAGTTTCTGGTTTGCTCTTGGGTCCAGTAGTCCTTTACGCTCTTACCACCCTCTCATCATACCCACCTTGATAGCTAAGGGGGGTACTCTCTACTGTTGAAAAAGGCTTTGCTCCAAGTCTTCTCTTAGTTCTGGATTTGGCTTTTGGAAACAGAAAGATACTGATTATTTCTCTTGCATGTCCTTCTATTCCTCCCCTGAGGTTGAGCACAAGGTCAACAATCTCCTTTAATGAGCAAAGAGAAAGGATAGGAAAATACACACATACTTTAGGATCTCAAAATATGATTCTGCCACATCAATAAATGGTGTTGAGAAAAGTTAGCTAAGTATTAGAAAAACTGTCAGTTTGGCTGCATCCCTCACCTCACATACCACAGAAGCAGGTTTGTTGTTGTTTTTTTTTTTTTAATCCAAGTAAATCCACAAGAAAATAATGATTTCCTTTTTATACACATTTAGTAAAATTTACTTTTATTATGTGCATAGATTCATGTTATCACCAGAAACACGACTGAGAACAGTTCATCAACTCTGCCACTCAGGCTTGTAATCCAGTACTCTCTCCTCTCTAAGATCTGGCACCACTGATTAGTTCTCTGTCTTTATGGCTTTGCCTTTTCCAGAATGTACATTTTGTAATCTGAAATTGAGATTCACATTTCACTTAGCAGAATGCATTTGAAATTCACCTGTGTTGTTCTATAAGTCAGCAGGCTGTTTGTTTTTATTACTGAGTGGTATCCCATTGTATGGATGAATCAAGTTTGTTTAACCATTCATCTGTTCAAGGACATTGGATTGTTTCCCATTTGGCAGTTATGAATAATGTCACTATAAACATTCACATAACAGGGAGAACGTAAGATCTCATTTCTCTAGATAAATATCTAGAAGTGAGATAGTTTTATTATTTGGTAAGTGCGTGTTTAATCTTAGAGTCACTAATGAAGGATTTTAAAGTGGCTGTTTCAATTTTGCATTTCCACCAGCAATATTGCTCCACATCTTCAGCAGCAATTGATATTGCCAGGATTTTTGTTTTGTTTCCTTTCTTATTTTACCCATTTTAATAGGTAGAGAGTGGTATCTTGTTGTAGTTTTAATTTGCATTTCTCTAAGGACAAATGTCATTGGGCATTTTTTCATGTGCTTATTTGCCATTCAAACATATTCTTTGATAAAGTACTTGCTTTAATTTTTTGCTAATTTTGATTGGATTGTGCTTTTTATTATTCAATTTTGAAAGGTTTTATACGTTCTGAGTATAAGTCCTTTGTTGGATATATGACTTGCAAATAATTTTCTCCCATTCTCTGGGTTTTTATCTTCAATAATGATTTAAATATTGATAAATATTTGTTTATCTTCTGACTGATGAGGGCTTTCTAAGAATAAAATTATGGAAGAAAGAATGCACATGTAATTAAGTATTTTTTTAGTTTTTTAATGGAAAATCACTAAAATATAAAAAGTGATGTAACAAATTAGATGTATTTTGTTACATAAACAAAATGTTTACATAACCTACAAAAGATTGATACCTTTAATATGTAAAGGGCTCATGTAAATTTGTAAGAAATTGAAAAAATGGGCAAAGGGCATTAAGGGTCATTTTAAGAGGAAATATATGGCAAAGCAACATTTATTTCAAAAGTTCAACCTCACTGTTAATTTTAAAAATACAAAAGAAAACAACACTGAAGTATCATTTTGCTTAACCAAATTAGCAAATATTTTTAAATATGTTGATAATATTCAATGTTTAGGAAGATGTAGGAACATAACTGGTAGGAGGACTAATTGAGTTGCTCTTCCTGAAAAGCAGTTTGGCACTAATTTACAAAGAAGCCTTAAAATTATTCATACCCTTTGACCTACTTCCTCTTCTAGGAAATTCTCAGAAAGCCCAGAAAAAGTGGAAAGCCAGAGGATTCTTACAGCTAGAGGACAGGCCCCAATGCATGTATGCTATCATCCTTAAGCCCCATATAATGCATACTGTTGATTTTTCCAGCTAAGCAATCTGTACCATTCCTGTGCTCAGATGCTGTTTTTCCCATGTGGTTCCCCAGGACACCTCTACACTGGGCTGCAGCTGCAGGGAAGGCAGAATGTGTGCAGTCCCTGCTGGAGCTGGGCATGGACAGCAACCTACGTGACATTAATGAGAGCACACCCCTGGCCTACGCCCTGTACTGTGGCCACACAGCCTGTGTCAAACTCCTCTCTCAAGAGAGCAGGTGAGCACACCAGGAGCCACTCACTTTTTCTTTTTAAATTTTTCTAGAAGAGGCAATTTTTTAATTGCTGTTGTACTAACCCAACTATAATGAAGGCTCGTTTGCCATTATCTGACATATAGTGATATGTTCTTGACTCTATGGGGTAAAATATTAGTAGCAAGTCTAAATCCATCAGTCAGCCTAATTCACTGAACTTTAATCTCTTCTTTCCTTTTTCTCTCTTTCCTTTTCCCTTTATGGCATAGTTTCTTAATCTTTTTGCCTAAATCAGCAGCCCTCAAACTTTTTGTTCTCAAGACCCTTTAATACTCAAAAAAGTCATAAAAGATCCAAAAAACTTTGTCCATGTGAGTTACACCTCTCTATATTTAGGACATTAGAAATTAAAACTGAGGAATTTTTAAGAAAATATTTATTCATTTAAAGTAAAATCAATCCATTATATTTCCATGTCAATATAAATACTATATTTTTACTTTAAAATAGTCTTTTCCAAAAAAAAACAATTGCATGGAGAATAGCAGCATTGCTCTTCATTGTTTTGCAAATCTATTTGATATATTAATAGAAACTTCAGAGACTACTGCTGAATTCCCGCATCTACTTCTGCATTTAATCTGTTGCAATATGTTGATTGAATTATATGAAAACAATATTCCTTATATAGATATGCAGTTAGAAAAGGAAATATTTCAATAACCTTTCGAATAATTGTAGATACTTTGATACTACACCGAAAATTGCTAAACCAGTTTTCTAAAAATTAGCTGCAGTATAGACTTTGTCCCCACATCAATGAATTTTTTGTATTCTAAAGTATTAAAAATTCATTAGTCTTGCATTATTTTATAATACCTTGCATGGTCATTTGAAAAAGTTTTGTTCATTTAGTTATGAATATCTTCTAAATTCACACTTCATTACACAATATCAAAAAATCACATTTGTTCATTTCACCACTAATTTTATTGGAAAATTCTTTCTATATCAGGAAGCTATCAAACTTACAGTGTACATGCCAGTTTTCCAAGATACCAACTTTTGCTTGAAAGCTAGGCTTTTGTTATCACAACAATTCTACCAATTGTTTACCTTGAAATGATAGGTTTACTTTGTTCATTTTTAAGAGAATTTCTGCAAATGTCTGACACCAAATAACCATAATCTTTAAGTCATAAAAATGGTGTTCCATGAAAAAGTGCTCAGCTGGCAACTCAACCCCAGTATTCAGTTACCCACTCTTTGCAACCCCCTGGCCAACATCACAACCTGTGATAGAAGTAGCACTCATTAGCACAGGGGCATACTTTGTATAGGGGACTTGAAGGAATGTACACTGTAAGGTTGATAGCTTCCTGATATAGAAAGTCTTTTCCTCTCTGATAATATTAGGAGTTCAGAAGCTGTGTTCGATATTTCAAAAAGTCTACTAGAAGGTGAAAGAAGGAAGAAAAAATACATCTTGAGAATAAAGATCCTATCATGCAATGTGTGACCTCTACAAAAGATATTCATTATATGCAGCCAAAATAAGTAGTGATGTTTTGCAAATTACAGATTACAATATCTCAGTCCTATAAGAGTAATGACTTTTAGGGCACACACAGGGGTCAGGTTTCATTGTTAACTCACACCACAGAAAACATTAAGTCAATTGTGGCCTTGAAAGAATATAACACAGAATTTTCCAAGGAACAAAAACACAATAGTACCTCAAGGAAACTCTCCACATAAGAAGAACCGGCCTCACAACTGCTAACCTTTTTTCTTTAGAAAAAATGCCTATTGGGCATTGCTCACTTTTCTTTTGCTGCCACACCCAGCCTCTGGCATACACACTTCCTCTTCTGCAGCTGTGCCTGGACAAAAGCTTCTTTCCTTAAGTACACTCCTTTGAAAAGTATTTTTCAATAGGAAATTTGGTAAAAACTGAAAGAGAAACAAAGGACACACAAACAACTCAGGATGGGCAGGCGTCCTGAAGTGGGTAAGGTGGGGTGGGAGCTCTGTCTAAACATCCTGGGAACCAGGGCCTCCCTGGTGGCGCAGGCAGTTGAGAGCAGCGCTGTGAAACTGTCCACAGCCTCTGCAGTGCCGGTTCGATCCCCGCCTGCCTCGCAGCAACCCACATGGCAAGCAGACCTCTCCTGTCTCACCCGCTGCTCCACTCAGCAGTGTATTTTGTCATTGCCTATTCTGTTCCCCGCTCTGTCTCTGGTGGGTCCTCTCACCCTTCCATACATCTATCCTGTACCCCAGCTCTCGTATAAATAAAAAATAAATCCTAAAAAAAATAAATAAATCTCCTGGGAACCCTTCGGAGAAAACCATGTTCCCCCCACCTCTGCAACCTCCATCCTAGCTCTACTAGTTGAATGCAAATTCAAACCTTGGCCTTTATCTCTTTGACTTAAAACTTACACTCATGCTAACTGACTTTGAGAAGCAAGAATAGTAACAATTTAAGCTATTCCCAGCTTAGTTTTATGCCTTGGTAAAACCATTATCTTTGGGTAAATTTTTAAAGGATAGCTCCAGAGGGAGCAAAGGAATCAAAGATATCTTCTCAGTGGGCACAAAATGGACCATGGCAAGGAAAAGGATTGCAAAGGGTGTTGTGAGTTCTTGCACATCACTTTTGACTTGAGAGGGCTTTGAAAGATCTCAGATAACCTGCTCAAGCAGATGGCACATTAAGGGTGCTTTTTTTTTTTTGGTTAGTGGTGTTGTCTTTTACTTCCTATCTGCACATAGCATCCTTATTATTTTATATTCCCTTAGAACAGAGCCTACCCGACTCATTCCTTCCCAGAACAATAGACCCCAGAGGAAGGAGGGACGATTCAGCATGCTCAATCAAATCTTCTGCAAAAACAAAAAAGAAGAGCAGAGAGCCTATCAGAAGGATCACTGCAGGGACCTACAGAGAGGGGAGCACACGTCGGAAGTCGATGACATCATCACTTCCTTTGACAGCATCGTGGATACCAACTGCCAAGAACAGGCTGGTGATCAAGTAGCTATGGTTGACTTTAAGAAGAGGACCTCAGAGAATTCAAAATATCTCTTGCCAGAAAAGAAGCCTCTGGCACGTAAGGGGCTTCCACCAATCAGAACGCAGAGCCTCCCACCCATCACCCTGGGCAGTAACTTCCTGACAGCCTCCCATGGGGCCACTTCCCATGCTAGCCTGAGCTCTACTATGCATCACACAGCCCAGCGATCTCAGAAAAGCCAAAGTGAGCAGGATTTATTAAATAACAGAACTGTCTGCCAGGCATTGCTAGATAACCCTTGGAGAGGTGATTCTAACCAGGTGTTCTACAAAGCTTGGACTGTATCTTCTTCTGATAAACTGTTAGACAGATTGCTTACCAGCAGATCTGGTCACCAGGAGGTCTCGGGGTTGCCACCTCTTCCTCTTCTACAGAATTCTTCGGCAGGTAATGCCTTGCTTCCTGCTCCCTTCTTCCTCTTTCCTGGCAGGCTCTATGCAAGAAATGCCTGGGTGAGAAACTGAAGTGAGAATAGCTGAAAGGGTAGGGTCAGAACAAATTAAATGATAATTATCACCTTTCTTTCCTGAAGTACCACTGGATTCAAGATTTCTATGTAAACTTTCTGCCTTTCCACACTGAGAGCAAACATCAAGCAAAATCATGTGCCTTCTTGTCTTCTCAGTAAATATGTATGCTGAGTGGCAGATTAGAACAGGAATAAGGATCCTTAGCCAGGGGTAGGTGGCAAAATCATCTACAAGAGTTCGATTTGTCTGTGTGATTGATTTTGTATTAGATATTCAATCGTCACTCCAGACCTACTAAACTGAATCTTGGTGAGGGAGTAGGGGAAATGATAATTCCTTGTATATGTACATATAGAAAGGGACCACATTCACACATTTGGGGTTCAAGCCTCCACACGTACCAAAGGGGGTTACATGACAATTCTCCCTCCTATCTCTTCCCCCAGTTATCTGGTGCCTCTCATATAAAGTTGCCAGTATTGGTGTTTGTCTATCCCTCTAGAGATATTTTATATACATATATCTCTCCCCTTTAAAATGTGTCATACTAAAAAATTTATATTTTTAAATTCATATATATGACACACACACATATATATATATATATATATATATATATATATATCCCTCCCTTTTTGAAAAAATGTATCACTAAAATTTTTTACTTTAGTTTTTAAAATGGCTCATAGTGATTCTGATGCCCTCCAGAGTCTGGGAACTACAGCTCTGAAGCAGAAGCTGCAAAATAGTTTCCAAAGCAGTCATTAGTACCAGATTTTGTTTTATTTTCAAATGAATTAATTGCTTCTACATAAAAATCAGAAAATTCTAGCTTCTACCGAGAAATTGAAAGACCTGGCAAAGGTGAACCCAGTTCCCAGTTGGTAATAATCTGCTAGATCTGACTGTTCCTCTGGGCCCCACTGTCCCCAGTTCAAGCCAGTCCATACCACTCTATTATATCTTCATGGAGTGTCTGTTGTCCTTTATTGATGAGTTTCTGCTGTTGTTTACTTATAATCAGGTTAAGTGAAAAAATGCTTTATTTCTTGAACCCATATTTCTGTCAAAAGTAGGGGGAAAAAAGCCCCAAAGGTTTATGTGTTTCTAAGAAGTGGAGGAGGGCCATATTTCTTTGGAAAATGAGGAATATTCCTTCCTGTTTAATATTCAGTGTGAGTCTGCCTCTCCTAGCTCATTTACATGTGCTAGTGCCTAAAGCCTTTAAGGTAGAGGATGACTTCCTCATACATATATATTTGTATTTAAGCACAGGGTAAATATGGATAAGCACATGAAGGCTATTTCCTAGTGTCTGAGAAAAACTCCCCTCAGGACTTTGATTCATCAACAAATCACTAAAGCATTTGGCTGATGACATGAGTAATATTTTTGCTTTTGTCTTCTGGAAAAGTAAGGAAGGGAAAATATTGGTCTTTCATCTTTTCCTACCTCTCGTGACCTCCAGGGCCTTGACCCAGCCTGCTCTCTGGAGTTAGTCCTGTCCTGGATAACACTTTATCTTTCAAAAATCTACTGAAATGAGTTAAAGTCTTATTTTATTTATTTATTTATTTATTATTTTTTTCTTTCTTTTTTTAAAGACTTATTTATTTATTTATGCATACAAGAACTGGGATACAGGCCAGAGGTGTGGGAAGTGAGAGGATTCACTGGAGACAGAGTGGAAAATAGAACAGGCAGATTGACTGAAATACACTGCTGAGGGAAGCAGCAGGTGAGTCAGGAGAGGTCTGCTACGCCATGTGGGTAGCTCCCTGGCTGGGGATCAAACTCGTGCTGCAGTGGCTGTGGAGCATTTCATAGGTTGCATCCCAACCTCTAGAGCCACCAGGGAGGCCCAAAAGTCTTATTTTTTTTCTATTCCCAGAACAACCTTGGCTGTTTCTTCTATAGCAACTAGGATTGGGTTCTGTTACCTATGACAAAAACCCAAACTAACAATGGTTTGAACAACTAGAATTTTACTGCCCTCATATGAAAGAAGTCTGAAGTAGGTAGTACCTAAGGGTTTGATGTCAACATGATCACCAGGCTCCTTCTATCTGTATGTTGAGTCAAGCAACACCACACTGATAAAGACACAGGAGTCATGGAGCAGGCTGCACGTTAGGAGGACAAGGAGAAAGGGATGATGAAACTCAGAAATGTTATCTAGGGCTTAGGGGTCACGAGTCTGCTCACCATGTTATCAGCTTGATGACCAAGTGTTGTCATCAAAACTAGACCCCAGGCCACAGTCCTAATCTTATCAACAAGGTATTCCACTGATCAGCTGCTGGGGTCCCTTGTCATACATCGGTCCTCAACCCCCCGGATGTTCCCAGTCATACCTCATGCTGTATGAGTCGGGAGTAAGTTTATACATCCATCCTCAGCCCCCCCAGGCATTCCCAGTCATACCTCTTGATGCATACTCTTCCCAGAGTGATCAAGCTTTCTGCTCTTGATTGATATGAAAGGCACCTTGTAAGGTTTGTCTCATATGACTGACAGGACAGTTCTGACCGTTGTAGAGGAATGCAGAACTACAGATAACCATAATGGTGGCTGAACAGGTCACCTAAGTCTAGCAGCCACTTAAGTCTAGCAGACCCACATCTGTGTGTGCCACAGCCTAGCATAGGGCTTCCACCTTTGGGTCATTTCACAGTCGGTAATGGCTGAGAGAGCAGGAGGGAGGAAAAAAAGGGGATAATGGATGTCCTCTAGTTGAAATAACTCCCATTAAGAAGTCATCTCCCATTAGCATCACACATCTGCTTACATTGATCAGAACTTTAGTTACAGCACCAGGTCTATCTGCACGGGAGAACAGGGATTGTAGACTGTTGTTCTCCAAAATTGGATTGTGTTCTATGATGGAAGAGACAGATATTAGATAGAGAACTGGTAGATGCTGTCATGTGCATCATCTAAAACTTTCTATGTTACTTGAAATACAGGAAATTCAGTAAACTTTGTTTCAGGATTTGCTCAGTACCCAAAGAAGTAATGGGAAATATCCTGGGGTGGCAGAATAGCAGAAACAGAGAAACAGAATTCTCTGGAGGAATCTGAACTGCATGTGCCTATATCAGAGCACTTTTTTCAACCAATATTTTTGAATGCTAATAACAACTTGGAACCATCTAAGCAACTGAGTCATTAAGATAAGACTTCCAAGAATCTTCAATCTGTCAATGAACTTTGTATGATACAGATTTGCTAAACTGATTGATTATGCAACTGATGTTAAATCGCTTTTCTTCTCATATTTAGATATAAGTTCATAGGGGTTTTAAATGGAAAGAACCTTAGTCATCCGCTCATTTACAAAATGAGTATTTGGTGTCTTTCATCCTAATTTATCAAGAGGCAGTATCTCCAATGGTTAAAAAAAAAAAAAGGATTCTAAAGCCACACTGCCTGGGTTCAAATTCTGCCTCTGTCACTTACTTGCTATTACTTAATTTCTCTGAACCTTTGTTTCTTCATCTGAAAAATGGGGAAATGCCTAACATATAGACTATGAATTGCTGTTAAAATTAAATGAGTTAATACATGTAAAGTGTACACACACATACATTTGTTTGTTTTTAACTATGTGACAGACCCTACACTAATCACCATGACTTAGAGACAAGGTAGGGATGACCTTTATTTTAAAGATGATAAAATTTAAGTTAGTGAGCTAGTCTACTATCTCTGAGCCCTCAGATCTAGTCTTCTCCTGCTACTCTGTATCACAAAGAACTACACTTCCCAGGCTTCCTTGCAGTTGCTTCCAGGTAGTTATGGCCAACAGGAAGCGCCAGCAGAAGAACAGGAAAAAGAAGGAAACCAGTGTAGTTCTAGGCACTATTCCTCAGTAAAATTTCCAGCAGTAACCCCCTGTCCTCCCAGCTCCCTCTACATAGAACTTCATTCTGTGATGTTCTAGCTTCCCCTAACTTCTGGACTTTGGTAATATATTATCTTTTCCCTTATCCCTCCATCTTAGAGGTTTATTGCATTTTCATTACAGGTTCATTGCAGGTTCACTGCATTGCTATGGCTAATCTCTGGATAGTTACTTCTACCCTGTCCTCTCTCTGGCCTTTTAGCTTTTCTATCATCAGTGTAACCATTTTTCTATATGAAAATTATTTCAAAGACCTAGAAATGTCTCTGTTTTCCTGGATGAACCCTGATTGATAAAGCAAGAAATGTCATCTCTCTGGGCCATAGTTTCCTTAACCTCTGGATATAGAGACAAGGGCCATTTTATCTCGTGGGGTTCTTTGCTGTTATAATTCACAAGACTTAGAAAACTTAAACAATTTACTCCAAGTCTTACCACTAATTAGTAACATATTCAGAACTCAAACAGAGGTCTCCAAAAAAGGGTAAGCTTTCACTGTGGCAATCTATTTCTCTCTTCCCATCTCGAAATCCATTTTGTTAGAGTGCTTATCAATTACCAATGCTACAGATTTTTTGGGGTGTTTGGCTACTCACCACTCATAAGCCAAAACTCAACAGACAAGAGCTGGAGGGGAGGAAATCAGGTTTAATCAAATGCTGGCAAACCTGAAGACATGGCAGACTAATGACACAAAGGCCACCTCCCCCAAACTGGAGAGAAGGGACTTCTAAGAGGAAGTACTAAGGAGGGGAGAGGCTAAAGGGTCTGCATCATCAAGATTTCCGAGAAGTAGGCTGCATTAGCGGCACTCACACCCCTTCTGCTTGTAGGTTCAGTCTTAAGGGACCTGTCCTGGTGCTGGTGGGCTTGCTTTTTGCTATGAAAATGAGGCTGTCACTTAACTCCTGTCTTACTTCTCTTTCCATCTGGTTTCAGTCAGTTTTACCTGGTTTCTCATTAAGATAAACAC